GACTGGCAAATCTCTATCCTTGCAGATGTTCAAAATTCAGCTGGAACAGACCTTAAGCAACTTGATCTAATTTTGAAATTTGTCCTCGTCTTGAGCAGGAGGTGCTGACTAGTGACCCTGAGTGTTCCTTTCCAACCTATAAATTAAAGGGCATCTGCAGTAGTCCTGCAAATGGTGTTATGATTCAACCAATTATAGCTTAGTAAATTCCACCCTTTATACAGCTTTCACTTGCAATTATTGTTCCAGGTTGCTCTTACCTATAAGTTCAATAATTCCTGAATGAATAGCGAGATCCTGAGTAGTAAGAAGGGAGTCCTTCTTCTGGCTATAATACTTTATTATAACATCAAAAAGAATTTTCTTGTATATATTCAGACTGCCTGGTTTGTTACTGCTTTGAGGTAACTGCTGACTAACCATCACTATGAATTGGTCTGGGAGATACTCCAAGCATTCAATTGCAGCATAAAGCCATTTGTCAAGCCTGTAGAAGGAAAAGTTAGTTTTAGTGATTACTTTAAAATACTCCACCTTTTCTTATTTAATGCTTTAAAATAAATAAATAAATTAGGTAGCAATAACCACGCAGGCATCATCATATATTTGAACCACAGCATTAAACTTGTTGCTTATTAAGCAGCTTATGCAATTTATTTCACTATAATAGTTCATCGACCAGCTCAAAAATAAGCAACTTCCATGGTCCTCCTGTACTACAGAAAAGACACCTGATGCACACCCAGATCAAAAACTGCAATCATGTCAGACTGTCACTGACCCCAGGACACTTGTCCAATTCAGCTGTTATTTAAAACCAAACATGGTCATGCCATTCCTTCAGCACACACAATGAAAATCCACCAGAGCTAACCAGAGTGAAAAGGCAAGGGACTGAATCTTCAGAAGAGAGACAAGAAACAATTAGCTTGAAAACAGAGAAAAATAAGAATAGTTTGAAACCCAAAAGTCTGCAGAACCAATTAATTATATGACTTGCTAAAAAGGCATGAGTTTTGTTATGCATTTGTTGCCTGTAAGACTTAACTAAGCGAGAGAAAATGTCAGGCAAATATAGAATCTAGGTAGACAACTTATTGTTCAAAAGAGGCTGGAAAGTCAGAGGAAAAGGTCATTAATCATTTTGCCTAGAAGAAATCTAAAATAGTAGAACTGGGGGGGTGGAGGGAGAAATACTTTTATCTGACCGTCTGGGTATAAAATAATTTTAACTGAATCAATAATTAACAAGAAAATGCAAATATTATTTAAGAACCATATAATCTTCATGAAGAGCAGAAGCAATTTTTTTTTTTTAACTTGATGCTAGACAACTACATAAACAGAAATTTTTGCTAGGACTGCTGCAACCAACAAATATTGTGTAACTCTTGGATGCATAAGCTGGGTAATACAGCAAAGTAGAAATGGGACTATGACCTCCCTTTAGTTATGATCCCATGAGCAGTGTATTCTGGTTTGGTGGGTTTTTTGGTAGTAGGGGAAGGACTCCAAAAATGGCTCCAGTAAGAAGCTGAGACACTCCCCCTGCTTCCAAAACCCAGCCAAGAAGCTATTAGAGGGACAACAGATGCACCTTGCCTCAGTGATTAATGAAAGAACAGCTATAACACCTGAGCAGAGAGGCACTTGGGGGGAGAAGAGCTGTGCTGGGGAAAGAGAGTGGTGCTGGTGGTTGGTGAGGAAGAAGGGAAAGAAGATGCCCAAGCAGAAGTGTCCCTGCAACCCATGGCAAGATGGCAGCTGTCCCCCTGCACTTATGGAGGAACGTGGTAGAACATTCCCTGAAGGTGCCAGGAGGGGTGAACTTGGCCAGTGGACTTGGATTTTGTGGCCAGTGGACTTGGATTACACAGCTTTGGAAGACCCTGGCACCAGAGGAGTTTGTTCCCGAAGAAGCCCGTGACCCTGTGGGAAGCCCAGGATGGAGCAGCTCTGGACCTCATGGGAAGGACTCAGGAAGGAGAGGTTCGTGGAGGACACTCTCCCATGGGAGGATCCCCATGGGGAAGCAGGGAAGGACTGCAAGGAATCCTTCTTCCTGAGGAGGAAGGAGCAGCAGGAACCACCAGCCTGTGAAGTGACTCCAAACCCCATCCCCTGTACCCCTGTGCCGCTGGGGGGAAGGAGGGAGAGAAACCAGGAACAAAGTGATTTGGGCCCGGGAAGAAGGGAAGGGTGGGGTAACATATGCAAGCCCTGCTCTGTGTTTGTCTGTGTCCTGTGTGTGTTTGATTAGTGTGACATTAAATTATTATTTTTCCCCAAGTTGAATCTGTTTTAACCTTCCTTGTTCTTTATCTTGACACAGGAGCTACGTCCTCATCATCCCAGAGTGTGTGTGTGGGTGGGGAAGTTGAGTGAGAGGCCATAGGGCTGTTCCTTGGTTGTCATGTCCAAAACCACGACACAGCGCAATCACACTGCCTCTAATTTTTTTGTACGATTTTCCTGTTATGGATGATAAAAGGAACTTAAGATGCTATCCAGCAATAAACCTAGTTTGAAACCAGGAGTTTCTTTATCTTATATAAAACTCTAAACATATGTTAAAATATTAACATTTTCTCCCTTAAACAGGAATAGATAAAAACTGTAACATCCTGATTCGACAGAAATAAGCATTACTAAGAGGAGACATGGCTTGACATATTCATTAAAAGTACATGCTAAGATATAAATCAGCCCAAGTGCAATCATCAGGAACACTACAAAAATAAAAGAACATTTAAGGAAAAAAAGCAAAGATGACATGCAGCTACTTCCACTTCTGAGGATATAAGCATTCTTCAGTGCTACAGATAAGTTTCCCCTTTTTTGTTCCTAACAGTAGATGCCTTATTGACTTCATATTTTCACAGCACCATCACCAGGAACTGTGACAAACAAAAAGCCTCAGAATAAATTTCTTCAATTTCCAGTATCTGTTATAGAGATCTAAGAGTGAAGTGTCTGATCTAGAAACTAGGAACGTTTTCAACACTTGAGATTAAAGTTTTAATATACAGGTAAAATCCTGAAGTGTCCAATCCTAAACATATACTTTCTATGAATTCCCTTCCCACTTCTGAAAAGACATCAACAAAGGAAAGCACATTAATGCCACCTTTGTCTACAAATATGCAAGTGTAATAGTGTCTATTTTGTTCACTTAAACTGTTGATCAAGGGTAAAATAAGGCATTTACTAACAAATCCATTTTATAAATGTGTAACTTACTCAGGCAAGTTTAAGCTATGTGTAACCTCTCTGTCCAGGAAAGTATTTGAGATAATCAGGTCTTCTTCTTTGCCAAAACAGTCTGGTTTTGTCTTCACTGAAGACACCAAGATGTCTTCTAGAAGTGGAATATCAATTAACTGCAGCAGCCGTAGCAGAGTTTGCTGTTTCCAGACATTATCTATTACTGATACCATAAACAAACAAACAAAACCACACCTTTAAAATAAAATATTATGAAAAACATTAACCTTTGTTTTTACTCACTCAAAACTGTTTTAAATGTTCAAAGAAAGCAAGTTAACAGCATAATGTGAAGTTTTTGTGTTAGGGAAGAAGGGATCAAAATAAAAATGCTAAGAAAGAAGGCTTTAAAGAGAACACATCTCTCCATCATGTTAAAATTAGTAATAATCTACTCCAAATAATAACATACAAAAAAAGACAAGTGAATAGCAAAGGAATAATGTAGTACAAATGTACTTAATCTTAAAAGCTATTTCATTCTGAAAGAATATTTGCATAAATTGCAAAGCACCATCCTGCAAAAACTTAACCCTGTTTTGCTTCCTTCAGTTTACTTGCTATGAGCATTTACCACTCATTTACCTATTTTGTCTTCAGTGACATGTTAAATGCAGGACCCTGAGGGGCAGGGCTTAAGAGAACTGAGGTATTCACTCAAGCAAATACAGTGAAGAGCAATCAAATTCTAAAAACGGAAATTCAATCCTCACCTCTTTTTGAAAGCAGATGAGTTGGTTCATTAACCATGATCCTTGGATACAAAGATGCATGAACATTTATTGATTGAAGAAGGTCCTCTACTCTCTTTTTATCAGCTGCGTCTAATGCTAAGGGATTTGAAAGTGTTGTTTCACCATTCATCCTGCTTAAGGGGGGAAAAAAGCAGATGTATAAGAAATACGATCAGGACATAATTATCTTGTCACTTCCTTGGTTGCTACTAAATGGAGACTTTAAGGCTTCATTGTATCTGGGGTCTATACTCCTGCTAGAAAATCAATCATTCATATCTGCTTTGTGCAAAGGGCAAGGATATTGGTTCCAAATACTATTTATTAGTTCAGTTCCTTTTACCAGCTTCCAGCAAGTAGTTTGCTCATACCAATTCTCGCATCTTAGCACAACCGATTGCGAAACAAAATTACTCCTAGGCTTAAGATACTACGTCAGACTCTATTCAAAATAACAAAGAGCAGATCAAAGCAGGATAGAATTACGAACAAACACTAGGAAACATCTGTGATTTAGACATGACATTTCCCAAAACTGGCATGTAGTTTTTAAATCTCCAATGCCTAGATTATACAGACAGAATTTCATCTACAGTTAACCCAAAAAATCAGACTAGTTCAGAGTAACTCACTTGGAACATATTTTTTTCTTCTGTTTGCAGATTTGCTCTGGAGATGTGCTCTCATTGTCTTTAATCTTTCGTGGAAGAAGAGGAGTAGGACACTTACTTACAAATTTATAGAGGCTATTGTTTGTGTCTTCAAACTCTGTTTCTTTCTCATTCTTGAATAAGGAAAGCTTTGGTCCAACTGGCTCAAACACCTTGTGATCCATCAATGCTTGGCATACACGGACTCCCTTCAGCCGAGAAATATCATTGCAGCTTAGGTACATGCTTTGCATAAGATGGCTTAGTACCACATCAACAGCATTGGAGCCAGTGAAACAGTTCTTATACGTTTTCAAATGCTGTCTACGTCTTTTGACTTCCACCTGACTGTGAAGAGCATGAATAATACTATTCCACAGCTGAGTTGCCTGAAAAGGACCATCACAATCTGCAAAATATTTGTATGAAAGTTTTACAGATGTTCATAAAGCTTTAACATTTTAAAATACACTTTTAGTATGTGAAATTAGTTATATTTATACATATATTTAGAAATTCTCCAGAAATTAGCTTAATTTGATAAAGATGAGAAAGTCATTCTTGTAAGCTGACTCACAGCCACTAGGGCAGAGCCCACGGTAAAGAACAAAAGATACCAAAACAGATCACCACGTAATCTATAGGTATGTACACATACGTACACATTAATTCGTGACATAATCACAGAACGACTGAGGCTTACAGGGACCTCTGCAGTACCTCTAGTCCAACCTCCCCTGCTCAAGCAGGGCCTACGGGAGCTGGTCCAGGGCCATGTTCAGAAACCTTCTCACTACCTCTAAAGATTGAATACTCACCACCTCTCTGGGCACCATTGAGAAGAGCCTGGCTCTGTCCTCCTGGCACCTTCCCTTCAGGTGCTTGTACACACTGATGGGAACCCCCTAAACCTTCTCTTCTCCAGGCTGAGCAGTCCCAGCTCTCTTAACCTCATCTAGGGGAGATGTTCCTCCAGCCCCAAATTCCCCTTCTACCTATCACCCTCAGCTCAGCAGCGGACAAACCAACACGGACCACACCTGAAACCTGCCGGCCCCCCAGTCTCTTGCTCCGAACACTCAGTCACAGCCCCAGGCCCAGCTACAACAGCGGCGTCCCCCGGTAACCAGGACTTCTGGGCAGCAGGGCCGGAGGAAGCGCCTCTCCCCACCTGCTGCCCGCCCCGCCAGCTCCTTCCCTCCCTCCCGGGGCA